GGTGTCAGGTCACCTGTTGTAGGGCCGGAACCGCAGAGTTGGATCACAGATAATTAGGGTTGGAAGGGACTTCAGGAGGTCATCTAGTCCAACCCCCAGCTCAAAGCAGGACCAGCCCCGACTGGATCCTCCCAGCCAGGGCTTTGTCTGCCTGGGTTTCAAAAACCTCCCAGGATGGAGTCTGCAGCCTCCCTGGGTAACCTGTTCTCATGTTTTACTAGCCTCCTAGTAAGAGTTTTTCCTAATATCTAACCTAAACTTCCCTTGCTGCAGCTTGAGACCATTGCTCCTTGTTCTGTCACCTGCCACCCATGAGAACAGTCTAGCTCCATCCTCTTTTGAACCCCCTTCAGGTAGTTAAAGGCTGCTCTCAAATGCCCCCTCAGTCAGGGCTGCAGCCTGGCCAGACCAACTGAGCAGGAGCCACCTCCATGGCCCAGCGGGGAGGGAGGACGCCAGGACCTGGCGTAGGAGAGCAGTATGCTGCCATGGACCTGGCGTAGGAGAGCAGTATGCTGCCATGACCTCCAAGGTGAGGCACCCCTTGCCCACCCAGCAGCAGGCCCAGGCCCAACTCCATGCTGCTGCACCTGTTTGGTCTCTGGTAGCACAGCGCTGCCTCCCACACTGGGTCCTGCCTGCTGTACTGCAGAGGCGGATCCTACTTGGAGCTGGTCTAGCCAGACTGCAACCCTGCACCCTGCTGTGGGCACAGAAATCCAAGGCGCGCACACCCCCACTCCCCCCCACATCACTTGTGCCTACCTCCAACCTGTTGCCTACGCCCATACACCCCCTTCCCCACACATGCACTTCGTTCCCCATACACCCACCCCGTTCCTCACACACTTGGGGGAGCTGGGGCCTGCGGGTGGGGGGCAGCAGGGGGCGGGCAACCACTACTGGACCCATGTTCTGATGAGTGAAGGGGGAGGGGGAGTTCTGATTTTCCATGATAAAAAAACAAAATCAAGTGCCAAAATATATAGGTATTTAGAATTTATTATAATGACTGAGGCGCTGGTAGGCTTCCAAATTGCTTTAGAATAGTAAATATATCAGCAAAACATGGTGTTCAACTGATCCCTATAGAATGTCGTTTCATTTTAATTGTGTAAAAACACAGATTTTGGGGTTTATAGTCAGAGAGTTTTGGATTTTTAAATAGAAAAAAACAGGATCTCTGGTCATAACCCATTCCTTTTGTCATAGTTCCTACCTACTGTATAAAATTCAGTAAAAGCTATAGGCACAGACAGTTTTTTTTTGTGATAATGTATGCCACTCAACTAAACAGCATTTGTTTTAAGAAATCTAATTACTTTATTAATAAAAACAGCAATTAGAATGAAAATCAGATTATCTAAGTAGAGAAGATGAGTGTGGCTGTTTAATGCCCTTTTTCATTTTTCTCCCAAAATTTAAAAATAATTTTGAACTGGCAGGCAGATTTTCCAGATGAGGTTTATATTTCAGTGTCATTTTTTGTTAAATTACAGATATTTGCAGTTATCTAACTCCTTTGCAGGACTGAAATATGTAGTCGTCATTATAAACAAACCTTCCCCCAACATGACAAAATTAGGTTTTAGATTTTTTTTTGTGTAACTCATTTCCATTATGAACTGCTGTGTATTCACTTTTATATGAAAGAGCTTATAGGCTATCCGGTTAGTTACATACGCTAAGCAGACATGTTGGATTATTCTAAACCCCTACAGCTTCAGTTCATTGTAAAGTATAAAAACTAATTCCCACCTCAGCACACAGAAGGACATTTGTGTACTGTCACTCTAGTACATAATTTTTTAATTCAAAAGTGACAGCTATAATTCCTTCTTAAGAAGCATATACAATTATAACTTTGGTATTTTTTTTAACATTAGTTTAGATATGTGCACCAAATACAGGTATTCCTCACTTAATGTTGTCCTGGTTAACATTGTTTCATTATTACCTCATTAAGCTATTAGAGAACATACTCATTTAAAGTCACATAATGTTTACTTATAACATTGTTTGGCCGCCACCTGCTAGTAGGTAACTACTGTGATGCAACTGTTAACATTGTTTCACTGAAAGTTGGATTTAGCTGTACATAATAATTATGAGCAAAATTAGGGGTGAAATACTAGCCCCACTGAAATCAATAGTGGTACATCATTGACTTCAATGGGGCCAGGATTTCACTTCATGAAATAGTTTATGGTGCATATATAAATAAATCACTGAACACAGTCCTGAGGTCTGCAAGAGGTAGAGCCCTTAATTCTGTATTCATCCCTACAAGTCTTGTTTTTTTCTCTGTCTCTTGACTACTTTTAAACTAACCACAAACTAGCATGTCATGAACACCTAATACTCTTCTTTTTCAAGTCATTTGCCAAAGGAAATATATTGGAATACACTGGAATGTTGTATTTATGAATAATACAATATTATTATAAATTAAAATTAAATTATAAATAATTAAATATTATTATTGTTGTTATTATTATTATTATTATGTTGTTCTCAACTAAGAATCTTTGTTTCAAATAGGTGGTCATCCTTTAGGTAATTACATGCCTGTTTAGAGAAGTCTCAAGTTATAAAATAATCCATAAGGAATGGTAGTATTAAACATCTATCTAGTAGCCATAACATTTTACCCTAAAAAGGACTACTTGATTATTAAGCTGAACATTTTTTATTCTTAGTGTTTAGTTTGTGGTGCTGAGAATACCATAACATCGTTACTTCCTTTTTAAATGCAAACCACTTTTCATGAAGCAAAACTAAAATGGTTAGTCATCAGAGATGTTTTTAACAGGTAAAAAGATAAGATGGTAGCACAGTTTCACACTGAAAATAATTTTATTTTAATATAAGTCTGATATTACATTAGATATATTAGAAATCAGACAAGTATTTTTTTAAAACCTAACCTTTAAATCTTGACTGCGCTATTGAGTTAGACAAAATAATATAAGATCTTTTTTAAGATGCCAACTTCATTTCACTGTATGTCCTTTTGCAAGGCTTCCATTAAATTTATTAGAGGGGTCTTGAGCACAATTTATTTTCAGTTACTGCGGTGCTTGTTTCAAGAGTCTAGAGAACAAATATTCAAGTTCCTTCAGATTTTTAAACCAAGCAATGCTTTTAAAATATCATTGTCTCAGCTGAGCAAGAGCCAGTGCCAGTAGCAGGTTCATAAATAGATTTGAAAATGGCTTAACATTACAGATATTTCATATTTTATTCAAGCTGAGAATTGCTTTTTTACCCTGTCAGCTTTCAGATTGCAGTGCAGAATGAACAGGTATAATTTTCTTTTGAGAACAAATGTTGTAATGAGAATGTCACTCACTCACTGGAAAAAATAAGCCTTTTAAGATCAGTGACAACAGAACCCACCAAAGTTGGATGGATAATTTCTTGGTGCTAATGGAAGCCCTGTTCTGTGCAAACTTACAGAGGTACAATATTAAACAAATCACAAGTTTGAGGTATTAGCTGGATAAAAGTATGTACACCTATACATCTGTGCACATACAATATTCACAAATCTACTGGCCCCGAGATCAGCAAACCTTGGTATTAAGAGAAAAGAAATCATGTACTGATCAGGGAAATTATACATGCAGAGAAGCTTTAAAAAACACACTTCACAGAATCCTTAATATAAGGAACATTTCTTTTTAACATGCTTAGAAGAAATCAAATAATCTAGAAAAAAAAATCTATTTTAGTAGTGAGGAAGCCTGAAGTGCTCCAGAAAGATTACAAAATCATCTAAAAGATTAGGCCTGGTCCTACATACCGGGTGTATCTACACAAGATGCTAGAAGTGCAGTAGATTAATTCTACTGTGCGTTACTGTCTCACAGCGAAAACCATGTTAATGTGCCATAGAATTAGTTAACTGCGCATTAGCTTAATGTAAAAGATGTGTGCCAGCGTTACTACGCAGTAGCACAGATTACCATGCATTAATGCATGTGTAGATGTACTCACTGACACTTAAACACACAAAAAACCCAAATGTGTATGAAGACTTAAAGGCTGTTTTTTCCTCCCCATTCCAAGCTTTTCATATCCATTTCCTCCTGCCTTCTAATAGTGACAAGCAGAAATGAACATAAGTTTTGAAGTAGCTACCACTAGTCACAGATCATTATGTTTACTTGTTCTTCCACTCTACTGTGTTGAAAAACCCCAAAACCTTAATTCATGGCTTATACTTATTTAACTGGATTTGAAAGTTAGGCTTATTTTTGTTCATGAAGCCATCTTTCATATCTGATAACACTCTGCATAACCCTCTAGGCCTCTTGTCATAACACTTGTCTAATTGATAGAGTAATTCAGGACACAAAGACACCAAATCAGATGCTTCATCAGTTTTAATAAACAAATTTAAAAGCTCATTATCAATCTGATCACTGTCCTGAAGTTCCTAGTGGAACTGAGCTTTTTTGAACACCCACCCCCAGCCACAAACGCTGATTATTACTGAAAATCTTTCCTTGCATGTTCTCTCTAAGGGCTAAATCTTAAAATTACTTTCAAGCTCCTGAAGCATTTTGAGCTTCAGACTTGATTTCTACCAGGTAGTGGTATCACAAAAAGCACAGGGAGCAAAACATGCGGTGAAATCACGGAATATTTCTTTTTTGAACTGCACTAATATTTGCTCTCTCTGATGTGTACTCTGAAACAGGAACCAAAGTGGCTGCAGTTCAAATGTGAACATATTGGTAATAATGTTCTACATTCACAGTGCCCTTTTATCTGAGTACCTCATTGCAGTTTACAAGGAAGACGAGAAATGATGAACAAAAAAGAATGTGATAGTACCAAAGTCATTTGACTACAACCAGGGCTTGTTTCTCACTCCTCATTTTAATCACCAGACCATGTTTCTTCCCATAAAATTGACTGGCTCTTTGACAAATTTGGATGTTAGGACCTAGTAACATAAATTAAGAGCTTTATAGTTTCAGATAATCATACCTAACCTTATATTCCTCTGTCAAGTTTTGGTTTCAAATACACATTTTCCTACTTATTCCTTTGTTGCTGCGTGAAAGATCCACACACAGGGGGCATTGGTCACTTTTATTCAAGGAAAAAATGAAATTAACACAAATGAAAAAATAACCTTTGAAAACAGAGATTGCTATACTGACCATTTGAAGGGAAAATGGTCTCATGACTTGTAACAGTATATGAAAAATTTCCAGAGAAGTTTTTAAGTTTACTCTGTGCTTCTAAAATAGTGCCTGTTATATTTTAATAGTTATAAACATTTTTTTCTCTTTTGAAATCTTTCAAAAAGAATGAAGTGCATTTTTAAGAGTTCTAAATTAACCTTTAATCTGGTTTTAGATAGAACAAAGACAGTGTCAACTGAAAGGATGGGCAACATATTTTACTTTAAATTGGTCACAGATCTGATTTTATGTCTGCGTAAGATTTGTTTTACTGTTTTTAAAGGTCATCTGCAAAGTAGAAAAACTGGCTTATGCCCATTTATATTCATTATGTATCAAGATGGCCCTGCAAGGACTTGATCATTTAAAATGACTTCTCCCTGTTTATTATAGCTGCGAAATTCAGGTCCTCACTGGAAAACGAATATACTGAGAACTAGTGATGTGGTAGTCACAAGTGTCAAGAGTGAAATCTGATCAGCTGAGGATAGCAAAGGTTTTCAGTAAGACTAAAATGTTAAAGAGTATTTTATGATTACATTTTGAAGAAAGGACATCTTGAAAGCTTCTAACATCCCATCCCTTCAGGTAACGTCTTGCTTGCAATATAAGTGTCCTGTAGTATCCAGCAGAACCTTCTAGCAAAAGAAGAAAAAAAGAGACCAGCCATTCCTCACATTTTTCAAGTAGGAAAAATAATTGGATTTTTGTTGAAGTACATCATAAAGAAATATAGGAATCCACATGCTGACTTAGAAAGAATCCTTGCAGGTTACTCTTATGGTAGGCAGGAAATAATATCTATCCTTAACCATTCCCAATACTAGTATATAGAAAAGAAGACACCCTGCCAATATTTAACCTATTAAGAGCCTGGGCACACAATTCATTTGCATCAGTGTTATTTACATCATTTTTGTACACTGCTGAAAATTATACTAAGTTCTAGAGAGAAGAACAGGTATGGAGTATGGGCTGCTTACAACAAGCACTATTACAACATGTAGCTCTTAGGTTGCAGGGACCATATAACAGCTTTGGATGAATCATGTTAAAGTGGGAGTGATTCTGCTACATTTGTAACCCCACAGAGGTTGGTGCTTAGTCTGGAGCAACAGCTCCCCCACCCTTTTGGAAACTACTAGAAGCTTATGTTTCCTAGCAACACTGCTGTAGTTTTACCCCCCAGTTTTTTCAGGATAATTCTAGACTAGATTCAAGTACATTACACTGGCTAGGGCTGTACATTATGTTTACCCTGGTTTAAAGGCTGATTTAGCTGGTGTAAAACGCATTGTGTGTCTGAGCTCTAGGCAACGAGGAGCATTTTTGCTGAATGGGGTGTTCTGTGAAAAGTGGTAACTTTTTAATAAATTATTATTCACTGGAATGAATTGTCCAGAAAGTATTAGTGTGTCTATGCTGCCCTGCCAACTGCAGTAACAATTGTTGTGTAGTTTAGAGCTATACAAACTATCTTTAAACTAACTAGGCTGTTGCCAGTAACCAGCTGAGTAGAGTTCTGCACAGGTTAATTTTCCCTGATTTTCAAAGTGAAACAGAAACTACTACAATGTAGATACATCCTATTCATTTATTGTCAGCAGCTTTACTGAGTACCTCTTAACTGTAGCTTTGTAGCCCCAATATTTTTATAAACACACTACAAAACGATTCTCTTTTGTACTCTTTAAGTGTCACTGACAAGCATACTGATGTGTCTGAAGTAGGGGGCAAGAATATATAAGGTTAATTGAAACAATTCTTTTATTAAGACTAGTTTTCTATATTATTTCCCAAACGAACATAGTTGCAATGATTTCCAGAACTCATGGAATTCATGTTTGCTTTTTCTTTTTACTTCTACAACAAACATTTGGGGAAATTATAAAGTAAATAGATGATTCGTAATCCCTCTTCACTTACCCCACAGATCAAGTAGAAGGGACATACAGCAATGAAACCCCTGTTCTTCCTCAGCTCTGCTTTGTAATTCACCTTTGGCATCAGCTTTGAACATTTCTCTTTCAAATGTCCAAAAATGTTGTGTTCTGATTACTCATTTTATGAGTCAGCAGCAAGCCTGTTCCATGTTGCACTACTATATATAACAGGGCATTTTCAGTGAGATGCTTAAGAAAAGGTATATAGAAAGGGATTTCAGGGCCACATAGCAGCATTTAAGCGCCTGTAGGGCCAAATTCTGTTCTCAAGTTACATCAAATTTAAATTAAAAAATTTAAAAGTCTGGTAAAGTCAATGAGGTATTGGCTTCAGTGATATAGTTACACTGGTGCAATCTGAGAACAGAATTTGGCTCCTTACAAATCAATAATTAGTACTCTCAAATGCAGCAAAGATTTTGCTACACAGCATCTACACGAGACACTTCACTGCATAGCTGATGAATTAGCTCCGCAGTAAAGCATCACTATCTGCAGGTGTGGCACTATTAAGCCACAATAAACTAGTTAACTTCACTGTAGAATAGTACTGACTGATGCAAGTACCATCCTATGGCCGAATTATTTAGTGCGCTGCAACGAATGCATAGATGACAACTAGGGCTGGCTGGGGCGCACGAGTGACACAGTGTGGGGTTGCCTGCCAGTTAGCCCTGCACTGGAGCACTCTAGTGCCCCTGCAAGCCCCTCCACAGCATGTTGGAGCAGGGCAGGAGCACCTCCAGACTGGCAGGCTAACCCCCACTGGGTGCCCTACCAGCTGGGGATGCACTGCCCCGGCTCAACATGCTCTGGTCCTGGGCGTATGTGTAAATGCTGTGCCCAAGAGCAATAAACTCTGGCATGAACTGTGCCAGAGTTTATTGCTGCGCATTAATAGCATATGTAGATGTGCCCCAACCATGTGGAAATTACAACTTAAAAGTGACACAAACCAAACTCAAACTCAATGGCTTCAAAATGCCTCTTAATTTGTGTCAGTGAGTACAACTCCATGTAATTTAAGTGTACAGCCCATAAAATTAAAGTATATTGAATTAAATAAGTAATTGATATATTTGCTCATCTACAGAAAATCAATTTAGTAAAGTTTTGGACCGAACAGCTTTACACCCTGAAACTTCCTCTAGTTCCTGTTCTTGGCCAAATGAGTAGGGCTTGTATCACAGCAGTATGTTACAAATTAGTGATGCATTTAATAGTTGGCAAAAGTGTAACAAGGCACATGGCTTGACATTAGCGGTGATTTTCCTGCATCCACAAATGATGCCCGTAGAAGTTTGAGGAAACTAGTTTGAAATGAATAAGAATTTACATCTCTGAAGAGGAAAAAGCTTTTTTGTTTTGTTTTGTTTTGTTTTTTAAAGTTAAATAACTATCAAATTTTTTCCCCCCCCTACTTTTTCAATGAAAATTAAATAAGCTGTAAAATGCATGTTAAACATATGTATGGACTTATTACTACTGGAATACCGAATGGCGGAGTTGCTATGAATTGTTTCAAGTACTAAAAGCAATGTCCATAATTTCTCTACTGCACTTTGCAACTACTTACTTTAAAAAAAAAAAAAAAAAGATTAATGTAGTTTCTTAGCATTGCTAAGAAATGCTTAAAAACTACAACAGCTAATTGCTACTCTACACCATATCAATTTACCCCAACATATATTTAGGAATATACACTGCTATATTTAAAAATATCCTCCAAACTGGTAAAGTCAGAAGATTTTACATAAAATTAAATAATTTAAAAATGATTATTTAAACTCCACACACTTGACATCTGCATAAGGAGTGATGTAATCATACTATTTATTCCATCAGTGAGACAAAATGTTTTATGGAGCTAGATTTCTGAGATATTAAATAGAAAGTCATTTATCTTGTATATACACAAAGTGTTCTTTCCACAGATATTTACATGGCAAATATGTTAAGAGGAGAACCACTATGACTAAGTCTCTACAAGTATAGCATCCTTTTTGAGCTGAAACAATTCACAGAAGCTTTTGGAGTAAAATCTAAACAATTAAAATACCTATATTTCATAGTAGGTAAAGAAGCCATTAAATGATATTTCAGCATAAGGATTCTGGAAACAGCTACACAGTAGAGTTTTACATCCACCCTCTTTCCAGCTTTCGCGATGAAATTAGACTTCTTCAATGTATAGGAATGATAATAGTGTACTTCAAGATGCACATGTAAAATTCTAGTTCAGCCTCCTCGATATAAACTGGTCAGCCGCTCCAGTTCTTTGCAGTTGTCCATGGACATGGAGTCTGCTTTCCTTCGGAGACGATCATCTCGGTAGACTTTTGCTGCATATAGTAAGTCCGTTTCTTTAAAAAAAAAAGAAAAAAGTTTGGGGTTAGAAGTCAAATACTCTTTTTAACTGTCCCCATACCCTTCTGTTTTCTGCTTCCAATGGATACCCACAACAACATCCATATCTTAGCACTGTAACAAGGCTCCCCCCTGCTGGTTCTCCATAAGCACTGCTTCTCAGTGTAACACTTCCCATGTTTTCAGGTTTCACATAGTAGCTGTTAATTTAAGAGCTGTGTTGCTCTGCCCGCTACTGGTTTACTATATACTAATGCAGATGTGTACCATTTCATTCAGGTGATTAATGCATTATCAATATCTTTAGAGATCTCAGCAGCAGTAAAATTAAATGTACTCCTGAAACTACATCAGGCTTCACAAATCAGTGCAGTGATCTGAGGCATTAAAACTGTTCTCTCTGTATTACAGAGGTGATGTAGACCAGTGGTTCTCAACCTTTTTTATACCAGGACCCATTTGTAAACTTTGATAGCCAGTCCTGACCCAGGGCCCCTCACTCCTGAGCTGCTGCACCCTGGCCCAACCCCTCAGCGTGTGGGGCAGGAGGTGGATGAGAGACGCAGGGCGGGCCCAAGCAGCTTCTTGCAGGGTGGAACTCTGACAGCCTGCAAGGGAGAAGACATGATTTCTCATGTTTTTCTCCATTTTTAAAGTTTACTGATCCATTTTTAAAGTTCGTTTGTGACCCTTTCATATATTCTTGCAAACCACTTTTAGGTCGCGACCCATGGGCTGAGAAACACTGCTGTAGACTACCTATATTTTTTTTGGCTCCTAGGTTGAAATCAATTAACAATCCATTCTTTAAAGACAACTAACACTGGAAGGAACATTTTAAGTACTTGGTATTTAACTACTTGATGCATAAAAACATAAACGAACATGAAGCGGTTTCATAAAAAAATATAAAGTTTTAAATTACTATATAGATAAAAACTGATGTTTAGAATTTGAAGGGAGGGGGGTTGCTTATTTGTCTGTTCAACTATTTAGGAAATTAAGAGATTTATAAAATCGCAGCCTTGTATGTACTGGAAACAATTTAATTACAACAGTGACCCTGCTTTTTTGTAGAGAGAAACATGGGGTAGCCACAAGGTACTCTCATTAGAATTCACCATTAGAAAGTACTTCTGGTAGTTTTAAAAGGATCATGTGCTGGATGATGCAATTAAATTGAGTGAAATTACTGGCTCACATTCTTCAAGCCAAGAATGTCTATTGGGTGCTAATCTTAAACAAAAATTACAAGTGCATTTTTTTGGCAGATGAATGCACTCTTAGTTCTGAATAAACGACAAAGTCCTTGATTCATTTGTCCTCCATTTATTCTGTTGGCTATGTTACTGATGTGTTACTGGCTCCATGACTTACACCTCTCATGTTTGTCAGAACCATTTTTCTAGATTTGGACTGGTTTATATTTCCATGAGAGGTGTGGCAGCTACTAGCCAATGAGAAATTAATTATTTGTTTCTTTGGTTATGACAATTTCTGCTAGGAATCCTCAGGAAGATTACTGAAACAGCCTTTGGTAATGAATATCTAATAATTTGCAATATTTGGTTACAGATTACATCAGAATACTCTCTAATGACTGAACAAACACATCCACAAAAATCTCATTTTTCATGACAATTTTCCAAAACATGTGTGTGCTGAATCTAATTTTAATTCAACTGGTGCAAAGTATCACTGAAACAGCATCTTAAAAGATGCTCTACTATGCAAGACTCAGGTTAGAAATCCTCTTTCCCAAAGTTCATTCCTTTAGAACAACTTACCTATATAAATTCTTTTCCAACCATGTCACTTATGGATATTTCTTTATAAGAAAATCTGCCTACAGCAGATTTCTTTGCTTCTTAATTCCCTCTGGAAATTAACTTTCATATAGAATGTTTCTAGATGATTTAGATACCTAGTTTGAAAGGCGTCTTTATGCATAAAGTGAATTATGAAGGTACAGGACCATGGAAGAGTGGGCCAGTTGAAGTTAGTTTTAAATTTCTAATATTAGAGAGTTGTTTTTGGTGAATAGATGGCTAATGTAAGTACTTCATGGATCTCAGCTATTTGTGATATGCCTCAAAATGTGGACTATTTGCAATAGATGCAATTGGTGAAAGAAGAGAACTTCTTTCCACCCATGGGACAGCCTTTGCTGAGGGATATGTATACATTTCTGGAAAATGTCTCAGTTAACCAATGGTGATCTCACAATAATTAAGCCACCATTCCTTTCTGGCTCAGAGTGAAGAATGAGATGGAAAATGGAGTAATGTATTTATTCATTTTAGTATACATTTGTCAATCTGGGCCAACAATCCAGGAGTTCATTTTTAAAGAAAAAACCACAGACAGCACTCCTATCATTTTGCAGGTGGCAATTATTTCCTTGGATCACTGAGGAAAAACTACATGAATTTAGACAAGGTGTAATATTTTGTTTTGAAAAAGTGGTACACATGGAATGCCTTCATATTGGTTCATTAAAAACACGTGCTAACAACAACAACTTAATAAAAATTGCTGCTTCATTTCTTCCAAACATAGACATAAGACATAAGATTTTTCTTCTAGTAACATGTTTGTAAGAAGCATCAAATATTAGTCAGAGTCAACTTACTTTGCTGCCTCTCCTTCCAACAGTTATTTCGAATGTTTGACACATAATCCTCTTCCACACTCTTTTCTATCTTCTGTAAAGAGGCTCCTTTGTATTCATTTCTAAAGTCTTTGTTGACATAATAAATGACACCCAGGTTTTCTGTCTGCATTTTAATGGTCTGCCCTGTGCTCCTGTAAGAGAGGCATGTTTTGTTAGTCTGTATTTCAAATGCTCCCCTTAGTGAAAAGCAGCAGTAATTCACTATATTCATCAAAATAAAACCTCTGCTTTTTCCATCTCAAAAATTAACTTTAGTAAGATATCTTTGTTTAATACACCTTATTCATTTATAAGATCATATAATAGCAAATTACACTGGAACCTAGCAAATTTAGAAAAAAAAAAGGTCATTATGCCATACTAATCAAACAACATTTCACTCTAAAATGTTTTCATAGAATCATAGAAGTAGGGTCGGAAGGGACCTTATAGATCTTCAAGTCCAACCCCCTGCCTGGGCGGGAGGAAAACTGGGCTCAATTGACCCCAGCCAGGCAGGCATCAAGCCGCTTCTTAAAGACCCCCAGGGTAGGAGCCAGCACCACTTCCCTTGGAAGTTGGTTCCAGATCCTACCCGCCCTGACTGTGAAGTAGTTCTTATGGATGTCTAATCTAAACCTACTCTCCAACAACTTGTGGTCATTATTCCTTGTTATCCCGGGGGGCGCCAGGGGAAACAAGGTCTCCCCCAAACCCTTCTGGTCCCCCCTAGTGAATTTATAGACAGTCACCAGGTCCCACATCAGCCTTCTTATGTGAAGGCTGAACAGGTTCAGGTCCCGTAGCCTCTCAACTCCTGACAAATTCCTCTGTCTGCTGATATTTTCTGGATTTAAGAGTCAAGGATTGTGGAAATGGGGTCACAGAGAGGTGTTTATTAAGCATCACGGCAGCTTAGTTTCAGAAGGAAACAGTATCTTTCCTGTCGAGCTCATGAAATCTGAAGCAGAATGCGAGAGAAGGATTTTTTCTTCTGTGGAAGTTAGGACCCTTCAGACAGTAGTGGCAAAAACGATAATCCATAGACGATTTATCTGCTGGGTGATGAGTCAATGATATATTTCCTTAAGCCAACAGAACAAATTATAGATATTATTAGATATTTAATAGATATAGTTATAGCATCAGTACTCCTTTTTGGACATTCTGGGGTAAAATACTGTTGTAGTAGACTTCGCTGCAAAGAGAATGAACAGAGAACTTGTGCCTTTATCACAGTTCAAAAAAGAATCTTCTGACCTGTATTTTTAAGAGGGGAACTTTCTGCAAAAACGTGTTAAATGCATACAAAGAAAGAAGAAAAGTTGATTAAAAGAAAATCATGCTTTCCTCTTGCTGAACAAATTTAAACCATCATTACTTACGATCTTGGGTATAAGGTGTAGGGAGGATTAGAAACCATCAACTGGCTCAATAAGGAGACAAGGATCAGTACAATAATAGGCATCAGCTGGATGAACATAGAGAAGCCTCCCTAATAGAGAAAATAGATAGATTTTAGCAGTTCATAAAATGAGGATCGAGTGAACAGGAATTTTTTTTTAGCGGTGCTCAGTCCTAACTAGGACAATCTTTCTTTAAACCTGAACAGCATCAATAAACCAGAAGTTGTTAGACCAACTCTGTCAGCCTACATAGTTGTGCATGCTGACAGGTATCCCGCCTCAGAGTCACGGGTAGTCCTTTTTTTTTTTTAAAATCAGTATCACATCAGTGCCTAGTGGCCCTAGTCAGCATCAAGATCAAGGACAGGCTCCGACTGTGGTTGGCAGCACTGTCCACAAATGAGAGAGAGTCTTTTTCTCCAAAGCACTCAGTTTCAATATATACAACATTACTCTACCACAGCAATGTGAATACACCACCTCTCAGCATACAGCACTGATGTTTAAAGACACCAGTGGCCTCATCCAGAGATCTCTTAAGTCAACAGTCTTTTCGCTGACTTAAGACTCTAGATCAGGCCTACATAGGTATCATATGTGTAACTAAAGTTCTCATTTACACATGGAGACATTTGGGAGCAGCTATAGTTTTTTTAAAATATGAGCCTTACTTTAATATGAATTAGCTTACAAGTGTGGACAAACACAGAAAACAAGTGAGCAGAAATTTACTTCAGTAGGATGCAAACGACATACTTTTTTCTTCTCTCTCAAATTAAGCAGATTTGAAAAAGATGCAGCTTTACAAACACAACCGGACTGTCTCGCATCAAGCCTGCAAAACATTTCACTTGCAAATGCAGGTCTTCCTACAGCATGCAAAGCTCCCCTGCAATCATACCATGCACATGACAACAGCTAACTTTCTCTCGCAGTAGATTTCAGTCAAAAAAAATGTTCAAACGTACATCACCCCTCTCCTCTTCTCTTTCATGTCCACTCTGTCGGTGTTGGTTAGGATGACTGTATCCAGCCCGACCGTTAGAAAATGAATGTACACTACCTAAGAAAACAGAGTGTAAGATCACCACCTAATTACACTTAAAATAGTGCACTTGTAAATTACTAAATACTTTGAATCGCATTAAATAAATCATGTTAAAAAAATACTTTGAATCATATTAAATAAAAGTCCGTCTTCTTTCTGTAAAGTCACCATAGTAACTGGAAAGTAACTAAAATTAAAATAATTTTAGTATTAACCACTACATAAAGAAAAATACATTGCTTACAGTAGTTTATGATAAATTGCTTTAATTATAGCCATAATAAAACATCAGAATTCTATACTGCATCTCTAAAAACATGCCCTTTAAGCATTATTGGATAAATACCTGTTGGAAACGCCCCCCCAAAGAACATGTTGAACAAATCCTCTGGAGTAATATCAGCTTCACAACCTCTGTGGAAGTTAAATCTACCATTGCCAGGGTGATTGCATACTTGCTCTTCACTGCCGGTAAGGTCATACTGCTTTCGTTTTTCTGGATTGCTCAGCACAGCGTATGCATTTCCAATCTCTGGAATAAAGGAAAAAAAGAAGACAGCTCACAAATGAATGATAATAATGTTGTAATTTCAAAGTAAAAGATAATATAATGGACTTGCATATGCTTCTGAGAGGATACTGTGCTAGAACAGCATCCAGAAACAGCTGATCTTCTACCTTAGATTCCCTCCTGGTTGTCCACTAGCCCCTTCCTAGATTTTGTACACTTGTGTGATTTTGTATGCTTGTGTAAATATACTTAGATTATGTCCATATTTAAAAAGAATATCCTCCTTTTTTAAAAGAGGTTTTTCTCTCTTCTTCCAAAATTGACATTATTCATAATAGTTAACTCTAATGTAAACCCAAAAGGCAGGCAATTGCATAACTTGGCTTTCTCCAATAATTCTAACTACTATGTAGCCATTCCTCTCAATTTTATGGATGATACTAACATGCCCTACATTAAGATTTACATTCAACAAAAGAAAGAGGAATAGAAAATATTAACTATGCAGCATGATATGCTGCAAAATGCTAAAGTAACTTTAACTTCCAGAATTACCCAACTTAAATGCTTGATCTTGAAACATTAATGTTGTATAAAAAATAACCTTTTATTTAACTTCTCTGGTTTTGGAGTGGTGAAAGGAAAAAGCTCAGTAAGGCAGCCTGAAAATAATCAGTTTGAACAGCTTACAAGCTCTCCTGGTTTTACCCAGGCTCAAAAGTCCTTTAAATTCACTAAGTATTCCCAAGTATATCATGTATCCACGATGTACTGGATAATAGGGCTGTGTGAACCTTCAGTCGCTGATTTGATTCGGAGGAGATTCAGTCCAAATCGATGGCCAAATCTCTGAATTTGAATTGAATCAGGAGACCCTTTAATCTCTCTGAATTGCATCGGAGAGATTCGACATTTGGCCATAGACACAGCTTTAAATATTTTTTCTACATACCTCAAGGTACCAGGTGGCTTGTGAATGCTGAGATGCTGGGGTGGATGGAGCGTCCCATGGGAGCGCAGGGGAGTTCCAAGCACACTTGGTGGCGGACCTGGAAGTGGACCAGAAGCATTTCCAATCCACTTCTGGGTCCACACCCCCTTCCCCCGCCAGCTCGATGACTGGTGCCTCCTGGGTCGGGGGGGGGGGCGGGGCATCCAGGTCCCCTCGCGGCTGATCGCCAAGCCAGACAGGCCAACGGGGGGGGAGGGGGTGTCTGCTGCCGAGTGTGCAGGCCCCCTGCCGCCCTACTCCTGTGGGACGTTCTGTCCGCCCCACCATCACAACATTCATGAGCTGTCTACCTTGAGTTACGTAGAAAAAACATTTAAAGCTGTGTATATGGCTGAAATCGCTGATTCTCCAAATCAGTATTGAATCTTCAGATTTGGACTTGGCCGAATCGAATCAGGACAGCGATCCGAATCAACACATCGAATCATTGTCCCGATTTGGGCCGAATCCGAACTGAATATGGCTCATTTACAGTTATCCAGTAGGGGTGTGCAAAATCTACAGACCCTTTCGCAGTAAGTCAGTACACAACATTCAATCTGCTGCATTTTTAGTAATTAAAACAAAGTAATTAAACAAGAATTATCTTTAGTAAATTAAAACAATAATATCAAATCTTTTTAATACCATGACAATGGTACTACCTCTGGTCTGAAGGTTTAAATAGGTTTCTCCTCCTAAAACACACCCCCTTCTCACAGAAAAAAATCCCAAAATCAAGAGACTGCTGACAAACACATTGCAACAATTTTTGCCATAACAACCCAACTCCAAAAACTAAACAAATAATATTTTTAAAGGTTAGATTCCAGTCACAAATTTAGTCTGTCTAAAACACTATTGAAAAATTTAACAATTTCAATTTATGGAAAATCACATGGCTTGACTGAAGCAATTTTCTGTTTGGACTACAACATTTGTCTACATCAGTACATTGCCATATTTTACCTTTATTTGAGAATTAGACAGTGACTATATTAGTATATACTGCCTTCTCTGTCTGAAGAACTAGTATTAAAGGCATAAATAATGAGAGTTTGACTTTGAAAGTTAATAATTTAAAGTGCAATTAATTAGAAGGCAGATTTATTTTTAAACTAATTTATGTTTAATCTGATCATGATACATTTTAGAGAATAAGGCTATTAAGAGCTATTAAGGGAATTATTTGCTACTAACTTGGTTTTTATGAGTTACTTTCCATCTTAAAGTCTTTGGCTGCTTGTACATGCCACGGGAGTTTAATTCAGTTTAATTCTCCCTAAATTGAAGCGGGGTTTTTTAAAAACCCCGCTTCAATTTAAACTGAAGTAAACCCCTGTGGTGTGTACAAAAAGGTTAGGCCCA